TTTAATACTCCCAACTTCTTTCATAGTGGAAATTTCAGTGTGTCTGAAAAAAGATTTAAATCTCTAAGAAATATTTGAACTTCGATCTTTGGACAGCTGTCCATTGTTTATTTTCTTACTCTTCCTATTTAGAAACTCAAGGGTAAGTTTAACTATATGACAAGCAACTGAGTGCCAGTCATGACAGAACACTTCCCCTACTGTTTGAGCTGGGATAGTGTTTTAAATGAAAACCCTTTGGTCTTGCAAGGTGAGAAATCACTGGTAGTGCTATTCAACACTTTCTTCCTCAATAACCCAGAGTCCTGGCCAGTTCATACAAACAACAGTTCATGTAAATATTAGGAGACTTACCAATTCATTAAGGGGGTGAAAATGGTTATCCAATGAGACAACACGAAATTTCACTGAAATAGAAATATTTTTGATGAGCCACTGGCCAGTCCTATGGGGGGGGGGCAACAAAACTGTTAAGGAACCAAGGTCACAGGGACTGTGAGGAGCAGGCAGAGGGAAGAGCGGTTCCTTTTTGATGCTGCCCTGACTGTGGGGCTCACTGTACCTGTCTGCTCTGGTTTGTAGACAGGTTTGTCAGTCTGGACAAAGATCAGGCTCTCTTTGTTCTTAGTCAGCACTGTGTTCCGCTTCCTGAATTCCTGAGTTGGTCCTTTTACTTGGACAGTGAGGAACACCACCTCATTAGACAAAGACTGTGGGATCTGAAATATGGAAGAGAGTCTGAAATGGAGTGAGTCTCTCCAGCCCCTCCTCTCCCTGTTCTACATCTCAATGGAGATCTTGAACTTTTTGATGAATTTCACCCCCTCGTTCTCGTCCTGGAAGTTGGCGTATGCACGAATTCTGACATTTTACAAACAGGAAGACCCCCGAGCATAAGGTAGAGAAAAATACACTAATAAGAAAAGTTGTGGCTGGGAATCTCATCTTGATTTGTATGCAAAATACAGTGAAGTCTGGACTCAGTTACGCACTATGTTTGACCAAGTAGTTATATACTAACAGGACATTGTAGAAACAAGTCTTCAGGGTCTTAACACTATGGAAAAAGAAAGTATTTTGTTAGGACTAGATTACAAGTATTCCTCCGGATATCCAGCTCTGAAGAGACTTTGGACACATGCCCAGGGTGGTTTCTACAGTTTTTACTCTTAGAAGAGTATGAGGTATAGGAGGTGGCTTATGATTAACCTTGACCTGATTTGCTTTATAAACTTTAAAACATAATTTTAACTCTAAGTAAAAGTCACAGTTCCCCCTTCTCTACTGCATGCTGTTGGTTGTTTTTTTTAGACTAATAGAATTTTTCTTTGATCATTGAATTTATTTTCAATATGCCTATAGTATGTAGGTGAAACAGATGAGGTGATACTGAATCTCTATACTTGGCTGCCACCTTTGAATTCTTTATTGAGCACCTCACCCCCGCCAGCCCCACTGTCTCCACCCAGTTTGGCAATGCTTCATCTTGGTAACCCTGGATCCATGCTCTCTGAGTCAAGTGTACATAAGCCAAGTGGCTGCACTCACAGTGAAGGTGACACACTGGAATAAGTCCCTGTCAACCACGAGGTCAGTGAAGAGGCTCTGATTTCCCTGGACAGACTCCATGAAAGCACTCACAGACACCGTCTCGTTTAGATAGCTGAGGAGAAGGCAGCCCTTCTCAGGGGTGCCCGTGTGGAGCAAGGAAGGAACCAACACCATGTAGATTCTGGGGACGGAGGAATACAGTTAGAGGAGAGTGAAGGAGTTGTTGCTATCAAAATCACTGTGTCCCACCACAGTTCCACCAGTTATCACCCATCATCCTTAGTCACACAGCGAGAGAAGACAGACAGTGGAGAGTCTCTATTGTGGCAATCAGATAACAAAGTCTTTGTGGGTTACCCAACCTGGATGTTTGCATCATGTGTGTTTGCCTTTCTAAATGTAGAGAAAACCTCCATTCAAACATAGTCCATCCTCTGGTAACTGTGGGGCGTTTACCCACCAACCCCACAGCTCCCCAGAGTTTTCTTGAGTTCGAGCAGCAGTAAATATTAGATAGAAGGATTTATTGCGGAGAATCTTGCGGAGATAAACAGATAGAAAATAAAGGATAGCCTCGAGAGGGCCTGGAACCTTTTCCAACGGCCCCCAACTGGCTCTGCCCCAGGGTTTTTATAGAGACGCCAAGGGGTGAGCAAAAGACCTCCTCCCCCAGCACAGGCAAGTGCAGATCATCTGAGACACCTGCACTCAGGCCCGTGATCCTAATTATCCTCTATGTGGATCTACTGGGTAAAGCCACGAGGAAGCCGAGAATGGACTCCCACAGGTAACTCAGAAGCAGGGCAGACAGTTTCTCAATACCATGACATACTACTAAAGACACTCCGGTTTCAAACAGCAACTCTCAAGACCATTTTTTAAATGCCATGAACCTCTCAAGTTAACGTCTTTTTTTATTACATTTTTAGATAAGCAAATATACTCGTTTGACATTCTAAAATAAGACTTAATTTCTCTTAAATTAGGTTTCAACTTCTCCATAGAATCAAATCTTGTAAGTACTATCACCTATTTAAAAATATACATTGAAAGATACAGTGCTACATGACCTGGGAAGCTGAGGCAGGAGGATTACCACGAGGTCTGCCAGGCCAACATAGCAAGACCCTGCTTCCAAATTAAGCAAGTAAGTAAATAGTAAAATGAAAAAATTCTTTTTGTATTAGTCAAAAATTCTAATTTCTGTACTGCTAACTACCTAGAAGTTTATACTATGATTTTCTCATGCTTCAAAATAGCTCTGAACAATTCTTAATTTTTTTAACAGGTATATACACATATATACTTCTACATGAAATTTATATGCCTGTGGGTTACCCACCCTGGATGTTTGATATACTCTCCCCATGGGTATGTAAATATAACAGTAACTCTTCTTTTAAATGTGTAACCATAACTTTGCATCAGTATTTTCTTATGAATAAATTATTTTCAGAAGTTATAATATACAACTTACCAAAAAATAAAAATCATGATTCATATATAGTAGATTGAAAATTAAAATACTTTCAAAGCTCATCTTTATTTAGAATAGTGTCATCCCCCACCTCCCTACCCCTCGGTGAACATTGATGATCTGTGGTTGGGTAGTCCTCACAAAAACAAATAACATTTTTCTTTTGTGTAAATATAAGCACTAAGAAAAACAGCCACTCGCACAAGTAAATGTCGAGAATAATTATGTCTTTGTCATTATTTCTTGCACAGTCTCTTATATGACCTGCCCTGGATTACCCAGAGCTAATGCTCCCAAATATTGCTCTAGCTGTCTGTCTGTCCACTCTCCTTGGTTCTTTCTTGTTTCTTTGAAACACAGACTTCATCAACACTAGCTGATCTGCACAAAAGTTCTGTTCAGTCACTAAAGTCCTTTACTTTCTCAGCATCAACGTCAACATTGGGAACCATTCCTAGGGAATTGTAAATCCCAGGACAAAGCTCCACTGTGGAGAGGTGTGTCTTTATCAAACAGGGTGAGGAATGTAAAGGAGGCAGCAGGAAGGACAAAGCATCAACAGAGCCACACCATCTCAGGGTTCTGAAGACTTTTAACAGGAGCATCCAGGAAAGTGGTGCGTCACAGGGGGGGGTTGGATATTCCGAAATCCAGAGAGCTCAAGAGAAATGATTAAAGTTGTGAATGAGTGATTAATGAGTGAAGGAGGAAGAATGAATGATGGGCGATTTGGGAAATCTCAGAGCTGGAAGGAACCTCAGAGGCGAGAAAGGAGGAGATGGTTTTATAGAAAAGGAACAGATACGCAGAAGACCCTAACTAAATTCAAGCTTCTCGCGTTCTGTGGAACTCACGGCTTTTGTGGTGTGGAGGTGTCTGTAAGCAGCAGCAGCAGCAGCAGCAGCACCGCCAGGCTTGGGTGTGGAAGCCTGTGCTTCCCCATGCTGCAGAAAGAACCGGAGACCCCGTCGTCTTGCACCCTGCTCCTCGCCGCCGTAGATCTGGTCTTGAACATGGTGTGGAGCAGCTGGGCTTTCTGTTCTTCCTTGTGCAAACCCACACAAGTTCTCAAAACAAAGCTGAGGTCTTTGAACATTCTCTGAAAGGGTCATTGATGGCCTAATTACTGCCAAGGTTAATGCCTGGCCGGCTAGCCAGAATTCCACAAGGATTAACCACTTCCCAGTTACTGCTCACTTTTTCTGGTTTTTACAATAAAGCGGATAATCGGTTTCTCCACCCCCCCGCAGCCTCCCGCAATGTCTTTTATTGATGCTCTGGGCTCCTGCCTGGATTGGACAGTTGGCAAGGAGGCTGCAGCTTAAGCAGCACCAAGGAGGCTTGAACAGTTCACTCCAAAGGAGTGTGCCAGCAAGTTCTAGACCACATACGGCCTGTCTTTAACGTCAGGCCCACGTTCAGCAGCCTCCTGTAGAAAGGATTTTGAGCCAACCTAGTAAGTAGGTTTTGACTTTAGAGATACTATATACTAGGTTGCAAACGAAGCGTCAGAGCCAGGAGAAATGACTATTTTTAAGTTTCCTAATGCTTAGCTGTGATCCAAGTGCTGGGAGAGAGTAGACAGCAGTATCCTGAGCTTGCTGGCCAGCCAGGCTAGGCTAAACACTGAATTTCTAAGTCTCAATATAAAATAACATTGACCTTAGCCTTCACACACATACACATCTCTACTTTAAGGCAGTAAAAAGTAACAAGTTTCAAATAACCCCCATCTACTGTGCCTAACAAAGACCCAAAGTGTCTTCGCCATCCAACGTTTTTGTCCAGCACTCCCCTCTCTAATCTCTACATCCTACAGACAATTTTATTAATTCATGCATCCACCCACTCATTCTTGGAGCTCCTTGGTTATTTCTAACCATTATTGATCCTCCCTGACTAGAACCTAGCGATGGAATGTCAGATAAGTAGAAGCAAGAATGAACAAAAATTCTAACATTCTTATGGGGCAGAGGATAGGACAAATTTTACAAGTGAGACAAATGAAGTAGCCAACCATTATCGTTAGAGAAGCTGAAGACTCCTTGAGGGCAGATACTAGAGGCACAAGGTCCAGATGTGAGCTCCTGGAAACAATTTGGGAGGAAGTGAACATCTGAAAGTAAGCTGTGAAGTGTGAGTGGTGGTTAGCCAGGGGAGGGCAATGGGGGAGGGGGCATTCTAAGCTTCAGAATGACATCCACGTGGAGGAGCTCAGGAGGTTAGAGCAGCAATGGTTCCCTTAATAAAATGAAATGTATTTGTCCTGAAAGAAATGCCTGATTGTCTAGAAGGGTGGCAAAGATAGTTGGCTTTAAATCGAAGAAGAACTTTGGCAATATTAAAGTTCAGATTTGTTCCTTGAAAAGATCAATCTTACTGAGGTATGGAAGGGTGACAAGAAAATAATCCAGAAGATGGCGGAGTGAGCGGGGTGAGTGGAGTGAGTGGCGTGGGTTCTAAACCAGGGCATTCACGATGGAATTGGAAAGAGGTTGCCGAGTGACAGCCTATTTGAGAGATAAGGTTACAGGGAACAAAACCTTGTTTGTTTTAATTTCCTAGCTAGTCAGTGAGTGAATTATGCTGCCTTAGCCGAGTAACACGAGGAACAGACAGGCGGGAGTAGAGGCAAGGACAGGGGGCTGAGCTGAAAGAACACGTAGTTTTAGGAAGTTCTGGTGAGGTATCCAAGTATTCTGTTCTTGGTCTGAATCCTAACTGTGTGTCATTACTTACATGTGAATCACCTCTATCCTTAAACTATCGATGTCCTGGGTCATAATGCATACCTGGGCTATATTGTTTCTTTGTGGACAGCATCTTGAAAATATGCACTCTTTCTTATTGTATGCTGAAGTTAAGCTGCCTGGATACCTGAGATCCCTTGTACAGGCTGTAGGAATGAATGTCAATACTCAGAAGATGCTGACGAAAAAGTCAAAAACCCAAGACAAGGGTGCAAGGAACACTTGTCTAAGTGACAGGCCGAGGCAGTCAAATAGAGCAAAAGTCAGGACAGAGGAATCTCAGGAGGTGAGTGGGTCTCTGAGTCACAAGAATTGTGAATTCATGCCAAAGCATCCATAACAATACAATTCAAAATTAAAAATATAAAGGACTTACTTTATAACACCTTGATTCAAACTGTAACCTAATTTTAGTTGTTTTTGTTTTTGTTTTTGTTTTACATGCTAGAAACAAGCATTTCCAGGGATGATTTCTTAAGACAGGATGGACAAAAGTTAGTAAAGTTTACTTGATCGCTCATCATAAATTGTGAGGTCACCACTGTCGAGTTTCTGACTATTTGTGTCCAACATCACTGTGAAATTAAATTCTAGAACGACAACTATTCATCTAGATTGGGAATGAGAGCACTGAGATCCATCTGTCTCCATGTTTGTGTGGGGCAGAAGCTTCATACAGGCCCAAGGGAACATGATAAACAGGAGAGAATTTTGCAGTGGATCTGAAAGGGAGAAAATGGCAGTGTATGTCTGCTAGATAAGCAGAATAAAAGGAAGTTTCCTAAAGAGCAGAGAGTCTGAAACACATTTAAATAAAATCTTTCTTCTGTAAATGCTGAGTGGGAGCAGCCAATGTAAGGCAGGGGGAACTGTGTAAGGTTGAACTGTGATGTGATGGCTAAACTGTCAGCTTGGCAGAATCCAGAATGACCTAGGAGATGGGCCTCTGGACATCCCCTCTTACCTTGGTTACCTTGGCTGAGGTTGAGAGCCCACCTCTTGCAGGTGGCACAATTCCTTTGACTGTGAAAATGGAGAAAGTAAACTGAACACTGGTCTGCATGCTTAGTTCACACTCCCAGGTGGCTTTGACTGCAGATGTGATGTGTCCAACTGCTTCATGGTCCTGCTGCTTTGAATTTTCCACCATGTTGTACCCCTAAAGCTCAAGCCAGAATGAGCTTTCTCCTCTAAGTTGCTTTTGTCAGGATGTTTTTGTCACAGCCACGGACAAGAACTTAACACTTGTGTAGAGAAGGGATCATCTCATATGGAGCAGATGTGCTATAAACGTGTATCACAATGGAGCAGTATTCCATTACAAACCGTAAAGAGATGCTGTCATTTGCAATCAATGATGGAACTCCAGAATACTATGTTAAGTGAAACAAGCCAGTCACAGAAAGACAGTAGAAGTCAACTGGAAGTAGAACTACTGATTACTAGATTACTATGATTACTAGAGCCTGGGAAAGACAAATGGAAGTCTGAAATTGATCTATACACACTGTGTGCCTGAATGAATATTAATTAAAAAAAAATAAAGGCTGTGGATGGAGGGATTAATTACCTCCTGGTAGAGGGACATTCTCTCCTCACATATCCCATTCCCCACATATTCATAAAGAGGAAATGGTTTTCAAACCTATTTCACTTGGAGTGAAGAACTTGAGAAGTGGGTGGAGCAGTCAGTCTCCAGGTCACTGGAGCCTCAGTTCCGAATGAACTGTGTGGTGGTGGCCACCTGGATGATCTGCCCTGCACCTCAGCTGTCTTGCCAGTGAGTTGGAAGTACCAACATCTGTGTTGTCAGATTCATGGGGATAGTGTGGACCAGATGCTTCAGCATTGATCTGAAAACTATAAACTTTATTAATCTTTATATTTTTAATGAAAATTAATCTTTATATTTTTAAATCTTAATGGCTAAAAAGAGATTGTTCGTACCTTTTGTGGGTTTTGCTATAGGAACAATATCCAATACTACTTCCAGGGGAAAAAGCACAAGTTGCTTTACCTGAATAGACCATCCCTTGGGGGAAAAGGGAGTACACGGCCTGGGTGGGTTTTACACAACTTTGAAGAACTTATTGAGTGTTTACAGATAGAAAAGTAAGGTAGGGTAATTGAAAGTAAGAAAATAAGGAAAGCAGTTCATGAAGCAGAAAGTAAGGGTGCAGAACACAGGGAGAATATTTGGGAGTTGAGAAAAAAACCAACAACAAGATTAGGAGACAGGCCTTAAAAAGTTAACAAGAAAAAACACTTGCCCTCACATTGCAAAAGTACTTACTGGTACTAGAAACTTCTGTGATTGCACTCGGTGTACACAAGCTAATATTGCCCAAGACACAAGAGAACACAGAGAACAGATATACAGACATATCTTCTCTTCTTGGTGATGGAGAGGACGTTTAAACCATTTATACATTAACTACCTTCAAAATGAGAAAGTTAAGTTGGTGACATTGTCACACTCACCAATTCAGAAAGTCTGCAGGCCTGTAGCCAGGAGTGAGGGCAGCGCGTGTCCACAGTGAGGCTCTCGGGATTAGGCACATTTTGTTTGTGCTATCTCATGACTCCCCTGCCATGTCTAGTGAGATTAAAGCAGATCAGTTCCTAGACATTTCTATAACAGTGTCTTTGCTATGGATTCCCTAAGCCATCAAAAGTTTAGCATGTTTTGCCTTTTCACTTAAATTCTACTTGTTCCCTTACATTTCTGAAGACAATTGATACCACCCACTGTGGTAGACCCTACATTGAAATATGAAGGAATTAGTGCCTAGACTAAACCAATTTAATATAACCAATAAAATTCCACCCCAGTCCACACACTATGCACATTCTTTGAAGCCTTATAGATGTGTTTTTGTTTTGTTTTTCTTAATTTATTTTATAAATTTTATGTGTATGAATGTTGGGCCTCATGTATTTCTGTGCACCGTGTGCACATCTGGTATGTGCAGAGGTCAAAGGACGGTATAAGATCCCCTGAAACTGGGTTTCAGATGGTTGTGAGCTGCCATGTCAGGCCCTTTGGAAGAGATGCCAGTGCTCTTAACCATTGAACCTTCTCTCCAAAGCCTGTAGACATGTTTTAATTGATGTGTCTGTATGATGTCTGCTAAAAGTACAGTCTTGTAAAAAAATCCTACACACACTTTCATGTCATCTATTCAGAAATATAATCTCTTGAGGAGTCTTCAGAGCCCGGTACATTCAGAAGAGGCAGGTCCAAACCCTTTCCCCCTGCATCAATGCTGTGCAAGGTGTCCCACCATAGGTAGTGGGCTCCAAAAAGCCAGCTCTTGCACCAGGGATGGATCCTGATCCTACTGCCAGGGGACCTCTTAAGCAGATCAAGTTACACAACTGTCTGGTTTATGCAGAGGGCCTAGTCCAGTCCCATGGAGGCTCCACAGCTGTTGGTCTAAAGTTCATGGGGTTGGGTTGGGAGGAAAGGCAGGAGGGTGGGAGGAGGGAGAAGAGGGGGATCTGTGATTGGTACATAAAATGAATAAAATTAAAAAAAAACCTTAATAGAGAAAAAACAAAACAAACAAAAAAAGAAATATAACCTCTTGCCAGCAGTATAAAAGACAGTACCATATTCTCACAAGCAATCTTTTAAAATGGCACCAGTTTATGGAGGGGACACGGCAACACACCTTTGACTTTTGAAGTCTGTGGTCTCTGAGCAGCTTGGCATCACTGCCACTTCTAGGTGTCATGTCTGTCACTCATGGCTTACCTTGGCTTGGGTTTTATTTTCTGATTAGGAAATTCTTCCTAATCAGAGGAGAAGGGTATATTAAGATGAAGCTGTCAATAATAAATGGCACAATTCACATAATTCATGTATTTTTATAGCAAGTTATAATTAAGTATGCTCATAAACCTTGAAATAACATGGTGCCATTTGATGGTAAATTACAAGTTATTTATAAAACATGAGGCATATGCAATGCATTATACTCTGAGTTTTTTTTTTTGCTGTAATAACAATTCTATTACTTGGTTTAAATTATAATGTCTTTTCTCAAGTTAATGCATCTTAATTTTTGTTACAAAGAGAAAATGTTTAGTTTCAATATTTCTTGTTGGCATATCCCATAACTTTATAATAGCTTTAAAACTCCATCATTTAGCCTGGAGTAGTGTTTTTTGTTTTTTGGGGTTTTTTTGTTTGTTTGTTTGTTTTTACATGAAACCTGTTCTCAATACAGTAACATTTTCTAGAACTTGAGTTTTTCTTGTTTGTGAAGGAACTGGAATAAAGACTCTTCATAAATATTTTACACCCTGCCTTAAAATGGGCAACTATTTCTTTTAGGCCTAATTCAATACCATGTTTTTTGTTTGTTTGTTTGTTTTTTGTTTGTTTGTTTTTTCTGTAGGAACTGCAAAATGAACCTTACATTCTACCAGATAAACAGGATGCTGTTAAAGAACACTACTAAAGGGTACAGCAAAAGGATGTGGCTAAGGATGCTTCTAAAGGATGCTGCTAAAGGATGATGCTAAAGGGTGCTTCTAAAGGATGCTGCTAGAGGATGATGCTAGAGGGTGCTTCTAAGGTTACTAGAATTATGCCAATATGACTGCACTGACAGCTTGGGAGGTTTACATCAAGCAAAGACAAGACACTGAAAACATAACCAAGAGAAAAAAATGCAATGCATTTAGATGCATTCAGTATGTTTAAATTCATGAAGTCCTGATATACTATTAAAGACTCTACCTTGGCCACTTCATTCATTCATTTTTTTATTTAAGTTGGTTATTTTTTACATAAGGTCTAACTAACTACATAGCCCTTCTGTAGGATGTCTTTCTGTATGCTGTGAATATGTGTTACTCTTTTATTTATTTAGTTAATAAATAAAGCTGTATTGGCCTATGGCAAGGCAGCTTAGAGGTAGGTGGGAAATCCAAGACAGAGACAGGAAGAGAAAGGCAGAGGCGAGAGAGACACCAGCACCACCAGGAGAAGCAAGATATGAAAATACCAGTAAGTCACGGCCATGTAGCAACTTATAGATTAATTGAAATGGGTTAAGTTATAAGAGCTAGCTAGTGAGAAGCCTGAGCCATAAGGCCATACAGTTTTTAAGTAATATAAGCCTCTGTGTGTTTAATTCAGTCTGAGTGGCTGTGGGACCAGGTGGGACACAGGAAAATTTCTGACTACATAGCTCAGGCTAGCCTTAAACTCAAAGAGTCTCCTGCCTTATCTTCCCTGTGGAACCAAGCCTGACTTTAATTTTTTAAAGACATTTCTTTTATTTTATGTATATAAGTGTTTTGCCTGCTTGTATTTATGCATACCACATGTGTACCTGGTTCCACAGAGGCCAGAAGAGGGCACTTGATGGCCTGGAACTGGAGTTATAGATGATTGTGAACCACCATGTGAGTACTGGGAATGGAAACTAGGTCTTCTGCAAGAGCAGCAAGTGCTCTTACTACTGAGCCATATAAGATTAATTGCTAAAGGGTATTATTAATAATAATAATAAAACAATGAGAGCCAGATATTTGGGTGAAACTGAAAGATCAGAGAAACAGAACAAGCCACAGCCAACCTCACTTCACCAACTCCTTAGCTGATCCTGTTTCCACGAATCCTCAGACTGGAAGTCTCTGAGTCCTCATTCCTGAGTGTCTCAGTTGAACTGCTCAAAAGTTCAACTGGCCTAGTTCCTGGCCCTTACACCTTATATACCTTTCTGTTTCCTGCCATCACTTCCTGGGATTAAAGGCATGAGATCTCAAGTATTGGGATTAAAGGTATGTGCCACCATGCCTGACTCAATTCCCAGTGTGGACTTGAACTCTGCAGGATGGATCTCTGCCTCCTGAGTGATAGGATTAAAGGTGTGTGTGCCACCACTGTCTGGCCTCTATGTCTAAACTAATGGCTGTTCTGTCCTCTGATCCCCAGATTGGTTTATTATGGTACACAATATATTGGGTCACACAATATATTACCACAGAGCCATCTCTCCAGACCCATTTAATTTATTTTTAATTGACTATATATTGTCTAATATATATACAATATATAACATATATGTGTATATAACATACAATATATATATAATATATATGTATATACAGTCTAAAGCATGCCACTTAAAAATGTGTATACATTATAGAATAGCTCCAACATTTTTAATGACATTTTCACTCGTGTGTGTGTGTGTGTGTGTGTGTGTGTGTGTGTGTGTGTGTGTGTGATGCCAATGCACATGTGGAGGTC